AAAAAGTCCATGAGATGGAAGAAAATTTTATGTACCACTTGTAACTCTTACGAACACGGGTCAACAAAACCAATCTGCATGTCACATTTGTCAACCAAGCGCTTTGTTTTGTGTATAATCAATCACTGTCCTGGTTTTCGAATACGTTCATTAGTCACTCGATCAACTTTGCCACTATCTTGCATTTCATTACGGTGAATGGTTGTCAACAATGTGACATCTCGTTTGTCATGCCACCGTAATGCCATGATGTCATTGGCAGTAAACACCTGCACGTCATCACCACGAGCACCTGCGTTGAGCCTGGGCATATGTTTACGATTAAAAACGCACTGTGCCACACACATCTGTCTTGTTCACTCGCATGAAATCACTGAGTAATGGGCTTGTGTACCAGTTATCGGTATATAATGTATGCCCTTACCAAGATAAGGTCCCATCATGTTTCTCACTACGTCCCCTGAGATACCCAAAAAACATCTTGGTATCTTTCAATGTTTTACTACCCGTGTATACAACAATATCCAACACCAGGCCACTGTCACAATCACAGAGTACAAAACAGTTTTATACCAAAGCGTTTCCTCTTGCTCGGTATATACTGCTTGAAAAAACAGTCTACCTTTGAACAAAATCAAAGACTCATCAATTACAAGATTCTTGAATGGATAAAAGTATATGCTGAACTTTTTTTTGAGATACATGAAAACATTTCTAATCTTGTATAACCTGTCACTTCTGTCAGGCCTGGTTTTGTCAGAGAAGTGCAACATACGTAAGAGTAAGATAAACCTGTTCACTGGTATGATTTCACTGAGACCGGGGTAGAAATTAGCCGATCTGTGGACCAGTATGCTTTTATATTATGCTTATAGACATGAGGCATAAGCATTATTGTTGCAAAAAGCAAATACATTTCTGCAAACAGTCGTCTCTTTCCACCTGTTTTAGTCTTGACTGTGGTGATAAGATCGTATTTGCCATGGTGTACTCAAAATACTTATTACTTTCCCTGACAATAATTTCCATCATGGCTGGTCAAAGAATAATTCAAAGAATTCCCGTTCATTGGCCGTGGTTCCAAGGGGACAAGTAGGTAGAATTCCACTTTGGAGTCATCAAAGTGGTGAGGCTTGGGAACAAAATTGGGATTTTGCTGCCAATCCCACATACGGTTTGCTGGTGGATACTGGAATCATAGGCTGGTTGTGCGGGTAGTTGTGGTTGTGGTGGGCTGGTGGCTGGCGCTCCGCTTTGGGCCTTGAACTGACGAGTCAGCAGCGTGGGTCCCAGCGTGGCTTTGGTGAGTCACGCATGGCGGTGCCACTACCATCACCACCCAACACCATCCCCTGATGCCTGTGGGCTATCCATGCAAGTGTAGCCACATCATCCTCACTATCACTACCTAAAACTGGTGTTGGGCCACGGGATGTACTCCGGGATGTACTCCGTCCCTGGGCACAGCATAGGGTACACTACCCGAGCGCATGCGGCGGCGAACATACCGATTTCTTCACTGGTGAATATGATTCCTCACTTTTCACTACTCGAATGATCGTTGAGTCAATAAAAATCACAGTCCACGTCACTAATCATCATTACTGAAGTCAGAGCCTGGCCACGCAAAAATATTAGTTTTCTCTTGCGATGAGGAACAACCGACCGTGAGTCACGAGTGCCCACACCAGAGGTAGAAGGTTGAGGATCGTCAGGGTTTTCTGCACTATTATCGATATCCTGGTCATTCTTTTCGGTCACTAACTGATCAAAGCCGTAGAATTCGTCTTCATTTCCACTTCCATCAGTGTCAGAACTATCAGATAGGAAGAGGAGAGTCCCAATTTTCCGGGGAGTGAGAGCTGACTTGCGACGAGGCATGGTGAACAAGGGTAACTGAGCCGGCGTTCCCACAATGCTATGCGGGCGCCTAGATTTTTTGTTTATGGCGCACACCCACCACACAGACCCGTTCTCTCACATGTAGGCCTATGAGCGTTTTCGCGCTAAATTTGACGGCGCTAGAATTTTGGCGTAGATCTACGGTTTGGACACTCAACGTAAAGCCGTTGATCTACGGGACGGACCCTGAAAGGGTTAAGAGTGTTTTTTTATTAGTTTTTGGTATTATTCCTTTATTGAGTACAGTTTTTGTTTCTAGTCTTTCTAATTGTGTTATTTACAAATATCTGTTCTCAAATAAATGGGTGCAGCAAGTAGTATTATACAACATTAGACAGCTTTCATCCTCAGCTTTTTGTAAGTGAATATAATGAATGGTCCCATTCAAATCTTTCAGGTGCTGCTCAATTATTAATTTACATTCTCATCTATTCTTCAACCTTCGTAAAGTATTTACTTAAAAAAAAATGAAGCTCAGGCATTCATCAAAAAATTATTTGTATATTAATATATACAAAGAATATTTTGATGAATGCCCGAGCTTCATTTTTCTATACTATTTATGAAAAGTGACAAACCAGTTGGACAGAAAAATGAAACAAGTTGAGTGAGAATGTTTGCAGTATTTTGGCCTCACTCAGAGAGTCTTAAACAGATAGTCTAGAACTGACACCAAAATTCTGTAACATATCTCTTGTGTTTCTGTTTACTCTCCAATTGGGTTCACATTTTTCATTGATCGTTGATTATTTACAGTTTAATCTAAGCACCATTCACTGTGTTCAAAGCATTCTCTCTCTCTCTCTCTCTCTCTCTCTCTCTCTCTCCTCTCTCTCTCTCTCTCTCTGTTATTCCAATCACAAGGGTCTGAAAACTTATTTTTGCAACACTAACATTTCCTCTTGTATATTGCAGCAGTTCCTATTCTTCTAGTGGGGCAGCGGATGATGACATCAATGATGTGGCTGCAATGGGTGGAGTTAATTTAGGGGAGGAATCACAGAGAATTCTCGACTCCACGGGGTTCGTTGGCACACAGATACGCTCGTGTAAAGACGAGAATTTCCTCTTGAGCTCTCCATTAACCGAGAGAATAAGACAAATATGTAAGTATTTACATGAGGTAAATATGTATATATTTAGCACTATGTGTATTTACAATATATTTATATGAATGGTTCTATATGTATGCATTATATATGTGCAAAGACAACATCAAAGGATTCAGACAAGCCAGAAATAATTATATCACTGTAAGGGGAAAGTAGAGTGAGGTGAGGAGAGTAAGAAACATTTCAATGAAATACTGAATGTCACATTGTAAGAAGGGAGTATAGAGGAAGTAAGTGAAGATATTGAGATATTTGGTGTATATGATCGGCAAGGTGAATCATAGAATAGGTGGGGGGGGAGGGTAAGTACTGTTGAGTCATCTGTGGGAAGAAAAGCTTTTACAGTGGCAAAAAATAGGTGATTTTTCCAGAGTACAGCAAGGAGGAGGATGGAGGCAGTGTAGATGTCATATTTGAGATCAGTGCATGGCATGAATATTATGCAGAATATAAGTGAACAACATCTGCCTCGGCGGGAGACGGCCAGTATGTTAAAAAAAAAAAAGTGAAGAAGTTAGATGACAGTGGTGGTATGAAAAGTATGTTTCAGGGAGTCAGAAGGGTGTAGTTGATATAGTTTGGTTATTTAGAAAGACTGAAACAAGATAAATTGGTAAGTCGGGTATATAAATTCAAGATAGATGGAAGGAGACAAGGAATATCCCAGGAAAGGTTACAGGGGGTTGAGGTGAAGAAAATTTTGAGTTGTAGGGGCTTTGGCATCCAGCAAGTTGAAGTGAGAGGTAAAGAGTATCTTTGGAAGGATTCAACATACTGCTGGAGTGTGAGCAAGGTGACATTTATGAAGGAACTCATGGAATTGGGAAGTGCTGTTCAATGTGTCGTTTGAATTTTTACCACATTCCTGGCAGCACAACAGTTGAATGATGGTGAATACATTTCATTCCTTTTGTCACCCTATCTGGGTTGTTCTTTATTATTTTTTTATGGATGTAAAAATTTTTATGGGAAATGACATTTAAAAAAAATCACTATAAAGGTCAACAAAAAATAAATTTGATAAGTTAAAGGTAAGTGACAAAATCTGGATTTGAATTTAAATAAATATTGTATGACATATTGGCAGTAGAGGAAGCAAAAACAAACCTCATTACGGTTATTCATTACTTGATAACATTTTGGAAATGTGATACTCCACACAGAAAGTGATCTGGCTTGATTATAAACTTGTAATTACCATGTCACATAAATACAGTTGTGAGAAGCATTTGTAGTCAAGGTGTAGCAATAGTGCCATCTGGTGTAGCAACAGTAGCAGCTGGTGTAGCAAAAAACAGTAGCAGCTGGTGTAGCAAAAAACAGTAGCAGCTGGTGTAGCAAAAAACAGTAGCAGCTGGTGTAGCAACAGTGGCAGCTGGTGTAGCAAGTGGCAGCTAGTATAGCAACATTGGCAACCGGTGTAATAACAGTAGCAGCTGGTGTAGCAGGTGTAGCAACTGGTTTAGCAACCATAACAGCTGGTATAGCAACCATATCAGCTGGTATAGCAACCATAGCATCTGGTGTAGCTGGCAAACTTCATTCACTGTCTTGGCAAACTTAAGTCACTGTCTTGGTATAGCTTTTGGATGTATGGTTGGCGAACTGCTAAATGAATGGTTCATAATGTGTTAGACCCGAGTAAGAATATGCAGTAGTAGTATGGTACATGTACCTGTGATGATATGCTTGTGTTATGCTACCTTGCTTCATGTCGTTTTGCGATGACATGATGCATGAGATGCAGAAGAAAAGTTGTCATCACATGCTTTAATGTACAAAAAAAAAGTGATACACTTTTTTTTTTTTTTTGTAATCTGTCCACTGCCACTCCTTGTTTGCTCCAATTGAGCTAGAGCATTTTGTGTGTCTTGGTCAAGTCTTCTAGCCCTTCTCTTGTTACCTAACTTGATGCTTTCAAAATTTTTCACACACACACATGCATACAATAGTTAAATATTGTAGAACCCTTTCAACAGAATAATTGGAAGAGAATAATTAGCACACGTTAAAATTAAACATCTATAAATGTGCAGTATCATACAGTACATGAGGGTATCACTTATATGGCAGGTTAGGTTCCAGGTTACTGCCGTTAAGTGAATCACACTTTTTTCACTTATGAATGCACATATGGTAGGGGCTTGCTTTACAACATTTCACTAATACGGACATTTCAAATTATAACCAAAAACTCATACAACCTCCCTCCACCCCAATACAGCCTCTGCATGCCGCTGTTTACGTCCTCCGATACTTAAGTGCACCTGTACCTAAATGAACTTACATGTTGTGCTGGCATGCAGGTACACATTAAAATCACATTAAATATCATATATTATGTTAATATAGACATTTTCATTACTCCATCTAGTATAATATTTTTTTTTTTTTTTTAAATAAGAAACATGCTACATAACATATAAACATGATACACACACAGTAAAAAATAAATTTGATCTAAATATGAGATGTGATAGCTGAGCGGCTTGCC